TACTTAAGCTGCCCTTGCTACATGGCTCTCGCTTCACGATTGTGTGTGTGTATGTGTGTTTTGTAATGATTTGAACATACAACTGTTCACATTGTCTCTTCTCTGAAAAGATAGTCACATGATGGATAAAATGTGTGAGAGCCAAAGTACCTTGTAGTTCTAACATTTTTCTCAGAGAAACTAAAGAAGCTGGGGAGTCAAGGGGTAAATTCATATTCTGAATAATCTCTTTGGCAATCCTATCTCCAGCTCAAACTCCCTGTTAATGTGAACCATGAATGAGCTCCCAAAACAGTAAACATATCAACACAACAGAATTTCCATTTAAACCACCAGCTTGTCTAGTTTCTTACTCAACCCAAACTCAGCACTATTCTCTCACTTTAGTCTGTCATGATTGTCTATTGTCTTCATTATCTATCTACTACTTCTAGAGATTAAAAACTCTTTTGAAAACTATGTCCATGCTTTTTCATCAGGAATACCTGGCAAAAGAAAAACATTCTCACATCAAATCATACAAACATAATAATTACAATAACCTTACCCATACATCATGTTAGGGAGAGACAGGTGCCCATGTTAATTCATCCTTAGTAAAATAAAAACTAGTATCATGAACTTCTGAAATATTTTAAATGATTAAAGGAAAGGGTCTCTATAGTCATCCATAATCTTCCCTATTTCAATTTGTTTTCCCGTATTCCCTGCTTTGAGTAAAATATACTGTTACGTTTTTAAATGTTTAATCATCCATATTTCAAATATGTATCAAATATATACATTTTTAACAGCAAAAGAAAAAGTAGAAATATTGGACATTGCCAAAATTAAAAACTTTTATGTTTCAAAGGACATGATTCAGAAAGTGAAACGACAACCCACAGAATGGGAGAAAAAAATTTGCAGATTATGCATCTGTCATAAGGCTTATATCTAGAATACATAAAGAACTCTTACAAATAAACCAACTTAAAATGGGTAAAAGATTTGAATAGATATTTTCCCAAAGAAGATTTGCAAATAGCCACTAAGCACATGAAAAGTATCATTAAACCAAACTAAACCAAACCCTTTGCCATGGAGTCAATACCAACTCATAGCAACCCTATAGGACAAAGAAATGCTGCAGAGTTTCAGTGTGTTTTGGGAAATGCAAATCAAAACCTCAATGAGATACCACTTCACACCTAATAGGATGGCTATCACCAAAAAAGATAGATAATTGCGAGCTTTGGAGAGGATGTGTAGAGCCTAGTCCTCTCATAAATTGTTGAGAAAACCATCTGGAAGTTCATTAAAAAGTTAAACATAGGAGTCCATATGACCCAGAAAAACTGTTTACGAGGTAATACCTGGGAGCTCTTGTAGCATAGTGCTTAAGGCACTTGACTGCTAACCAGAAGGCTGGGGGTTCAAACCCACCAGCCACTCCTCGGAAGGAAGATGGGCAATCTACTTCCATAGTGATACTGCCTCAGCAACCCAAGGAGGGGTTGCTATGAGTCAGGTCTGACTCGACAGCACATAACAATAACAACAACAGGTAATGCCTAACCTAAAAACGTATGTCTGTACACAAGCAGAAAAAAAAAACAATAAAAAACACATGTACACAAATATTCTTAGCAATATTATTCATTACAACCAAAGAGCAGAAATAACACAAATGTCCATCAACTAATGAATGCATAAGTGAAATATAATATTAGTCATAAAATAGAAATGAATTAATGATACATAAAACAACATGGATGGACCTTTAAAACTTATACTAAGTTTTCACTTATTATAGTGAAAAACAGCAGTAACAATAAACCATAGTTTGTATGAACCCATCTGAATATGAATATAAAATATCCAGAACAGGCAAATCTGTAGTGGCATAAAACAGATTAGTGATTGCTTAGGGCTAGCAAGATGAAGCAATTGGGGCATGATAGCTAGTGGTATAGGGTTTCTTTTTTGGAGTGATGAAAATGTTCTAAAATTGAGTGTGGTGATTATTGCACAACTCTGAAAATACATTAAAGCCATCAAATTATATGCTTTAAGAGGACAAATTGTATAGTATGTGAATTCTAACTAAAGTTGTTAAACATAGGTAAATCTGTCTCTGTGTATGTGTATGCATGGATAACAAATTCAGGTGTCTTATTTTTGAAAAATTTAAATAACAGAAAAGAATGTGTAATATAGTAAAAGTTCTCCTCCAAACATCCTCAAGCCCACTACCTTCTCATTAATAATCACAGATCACAGGTTGGTATATGTCTTTCCCGATGTCTCCTATTTATTTAAATGTGTGTGTGTGTGTTAGCATATGGATTAGACTTGCTTTTTTCAAAAAACAATCAACATACCTTGGAGATCCTTTTCACCAGTACATACAGATACACCTAGCCTTGCTATTAATTATGTGGTATCACACAGTGCAGGTAAACCAAAATTTAGGTAACTGCTCTCTTACTAATGAACATTATAATTGCATCCAATTTGTACTATCATAAACACTTCCCTTACGAACCACCTTATACATATACTGATTTTCACCTAAGCCAATAATATATTAGGATACATTCCAAACAGTTGGATCGCTATGTATAGGCTTTATCCAAAATTGGAATCAAAGGGTTAGCATAGCTTTACTTTTAATAAATTATGTCAAAATTTAAGAGTTCCTAGCACCATTATAGCCATTTCTACCTTTATATAGAAGAATTATAACAAACATTTAACAAATGAACACAAGCTAACCACATTTCTGCTTGGTGACAATTTCTAGCTCCAGACTGACTATAGATGAAATTTGCCCACCTTGTCTGACCACAAGGGAAGACCCTCAATGAGATGGATTGACACTGGTTGGGATAGTGAGTTGAAGCATGGTAACAATTGTGAGGTTGGCACAGGACCAGGCAGTGTTTCATTCTGTTGTACATAGGGCCCCTATGAGTCAGAACTGACTCAACGGCACCTAACAACAGAATTTGATCACAGATCACCTTTCCAGCCATTATCTCCACCACATAACTAGAACACACTACATTTTTGTACCTCATTTTTTTCTCAGCATAGGCTCACTACTCAGAGGCATGCCTACTACATAGATATAGCATTACTTTCCTTGGATACTCATCACACTGGGACTATTCAATCAGCCTGAGTTGTTGAGCAAATACTATGGGCCACTTGTTGTTGTTGTTGCTATGTGCCGTCCAGTCGGACATGACTCATAGCAACCCCTCCTTGGGTTTCCAAGGCAGTATCACTACAGAAGTAGATTGCCCCATCTTCCTTCCGAGGAGTGGCTGATGGGTTTGAACTGCCAGCCTTCTGGTTAGCAGTCAAGTGCCTTAGGCACTATGCTACCAGAACTCCTATGGGCCAATTAGTACAATCAATTTTAAAAATCCATTTGGAAAAATTGGAGATACAGATCAAAGACCCAGCTCCTGGAGTCAAAGAATCCTAGAGAGGAGGGTACAAACCACAGTCACGTGTTATCCACAGTGCCTAGTGTTGTTCTTGGAATACCAAAGATTTGCAGCAAATATTAACAGACAAATGAGTCTATATGATCTAACAAGTACTTAAACCAAAGTAATACAGAATTATTCCTCAAGGGAAACATAATCTATGTCAAAACACTAATATAACAATAAATTTTGACAATGCAAGCTATTTTAAGTTAGGCACTTTCTCAGTTACCATCCATATAGTGTAAAGTGTGACCTGGTTGGTTCTGAGAGTCTCCGGTTGTGGTTCAGCTCAGTTTTAGTCTTATTCCTCTCTTTGCCACAGTTTCCACCCTTCTCAGAGTAGAAATTTGAATCCATGTGTCTAGATA